GATGCATTATGTTATTTTACCTTTCTTTCATGTGTGATTTCAGAGCAGATTCTTCCATTTTTGCGATATCGATCTCCTTCATGCATAATCGGCATTTGGCTCTGAACTTATTTTCGGGCATCGATAAAATCCATTCCTTACAAGCTGGATTATCCATCCATTGGGGATTAAAATAGCACTTCCCAGGCATAACTAGTCTAAACTACATAACACAAATACGAAGCCGTGCCTTTGCGAATACGCTTTACAATAAAGTTTTGAAATGACGCAATAAAGTTTTGAAATGACGTAAGGACAAGTGTGGATGGCAAATTTATTGAACGGCAAATTTATTGAAAACTACAAGGTACATATTGTTACGAAATTCGAGAGTATTCCAGTTTCGATAAGAAAAAAGAAGATCTAAGCATATACGACAGAAGATGAAGTGGAGTCTCGCCCCGGACGCATTGATTGTCTGCTGTGCTCCGCGCGCTTGGCAGACACCAAGATGCTAGGCCCGGTTAGATACGGTGGCATTTAAAACCACGTGAGAAAGCTCGGGAACAAAACAGAACGAACGAGAAAAATCCTCGGGTGTTTTATAAAAAGGGCCGCCGGCAGTATTGGAGAAATTCAAGGACCTAAGACGTTTTTCAAGCACTTTCAAGGACCTAAATTTAGCACAAAAAAATTCAAGGACTCTCAAGGACCGTGGGAACCCTGAGAAATGTTTTTTCTTTCATTTTTGAAAGAACACCATAACTTTTAAAGACCATGATAAAAACATTTTATATTTTATTAAAATATGACTGTGAGTAGGGATTTTATTACAAATTCAGATATTCGGAATACCATGAAATGGGGGTGGGGTATTTTTAAATTCCATTTTAACAAATTAGATTTTTTAGCCACCTAAATCCATGACTTTCCATGATTTCCTTTTAAAAAAAATAGTTAAAATCATGACATTTCATGACAAATTTTGCTCAATACCGAAATTCATGATTTTCCATGACTTTCCAGGCGCACGGATACCCTGTATATTGTTTAAAACTAATTAAAAAGTTAGGATAGGAGGAGGGGTTGACGAATTAAAATATTTTAATACAGCTGTGCTTTGCATTCGACTTGGTTACCATTCAAGTTTATATGTTGTGCTAGACAATTTTGAAATGTGACCAAAATCGCTAAAGGTGGAGCATTTTCATTTAATTTCAAAAATATTCTCTCTCACGCTTAATCATTTACATTCTTTTAAGATTTGTTTATATTATCAGAAATGTTGAGAATTGGATTTAGTTTATTCCATTACAATTAAGACAAGGTTTTAATGTTTAAAATTATTCTATTATTGTTCTTTTTTAAAATAAGAAAAAATTCATTGAAACTAAGCAGAATGCTTATTAAATAAGCTATTATCTTAAACAAAATATGTCAGGACAAAATCTGAAGTTCAAGTGAATATAATACAATTCTGCTATTTTCTAGTTGCTTAGTTGCAAGTTTAATTAGATATAATGTTCATCAACTTTTTTCTCTTTTTTTGTAGCTTTTTTCTTGTTCTACGTGAATATTCATTTAATGGTTATTTTTTATTTCTTCACTATAGAAATATCATTTATATTTCTTTTGTTGTGATAAATCAGCACTGCACTATATTTTACAGATAAATAATAACAATTATTTACTAAATCCATAAAGTATTTCTATATAAATCAAAAATCATCATTTATGAGTAAATGAAAGAAATAAAACAGGATGTGTAGCCATATTTCCAACAAAAAATAAGCACCTTTTAAGCACAGGGGTGATTGTGAGCCCAACAACTAAAATCATTAATGACGCATTTCAAAAAATTAATGTCTTTATAAACTTAAATCATTGATACTTTCAAAACATAAAATTCCAAACAAGTTATATGCAGCAAAATTTAGATGAATAATTATGTATAAGTTTACTTTTATCTCTAATCAAATGTATTATTTTACCAGAAAAAAATATTTACGATCCGGAAGTTTCCGGATCGTAAATATTCGGTTAGTGAATTGTAACAATTAGCAAAAAATCCGGAAATCCGAATTTTTTCCACAGCACAATCGTCTTTATAGGCATTTTAAAAAAATATTTTTAAGCACTTTTTAAAAAAAAAATGCAAGAAAGAACATATATTCTAAAAATATTTTCATATTTTCTTTCTTCTCAAATAAAAATTCATCTATGTGTTCATGAAATTAACAAAATGCCAAAACTTTTTCAGATTACTTTTTTCATGCGTGATTACAACAATCCTTGTCATTGGATCCAACTTAGTTAATGTGTCCCCTTGAGTAATTCATCCAACATATAAAATGATAGACGCTGTCCCATCGTATGGATGATCACGGTAAACCGAAATTTATTGTGATTGAATGAATAGTGAAAACTTTGAACTGAACATTGTGAAAACCATGCTTCTTAACGTAATTCAGGACAGCAATCATCATGACTAAGAAAAAGTCTTATTTTGGAAGAAAGAAAATTAAGCACTTTTTACAAATACTTAATGAAAGAAGCCACTTTAGGGGGTTTTTAAAAAAGGAAATCAAAAATAAGCACCTTTAATCAATTTTTATAAATTTAATACTATACAAATTGGATATAGTGGTCATTATAATTATTATTTATATTGAGTTAATATATTTCAAACATTTGAACTTTATGCTATAATTAATAAGCCTATTTATTTTACTAGACAGAATAAAGTACACTTTAAGGAAAATAAATACAGATTTTAAAGATAGAATTACTTAAACTTAGAGTAAAATAATAAATAATATGAGTAACAAAGAAATGTTGTATAATAATTTTTTTGATAGGATAAAAAAGATGTATCATGTAGTATCATGTATTTACCAAGGAGTTGGACTAGATTAGGATGCTTCATTTCCTTCATAATGGAAGCTTCTTCAATGAAGTCCTTCAGAGCCATTGTATCTTCCTACAAAACACAAAATATGATGTCCTCAAAAACTTCCAACATTTTTAAAAATATAAAACATTTAAAAAAACACAAATTCATTTTTTTGCATTTGGCATCAATGGGTCTGTTTTGGCATCCTTTATAGAACATAGTTGGAGTACCTTTTCAATTGAAAAATTGATGCACAAAGAAACCAAAAATTATAATTTATTTTATATATTTATGAATTTTCCGAAATTAAAAAAGGGTCAGCAACATTCTCCCATTTCTTTGCCTGCTTTTTAAATAACATGATGTTAAAAATCCTAAAGTTTAAAAAAAAAAAAAAAAGATTTCTTTTATTTAAATCAATATTTTTTTATTGTTATTAAATAATGTATCACTTTTTTAGAACATTTCATTTTTTTATCAGCACAAAACATTCAATTTAAATATTAAGTAATAAACCAGGGTTCCCACTCTATGATGAGATTGAAATTCAAGGACTTCCCAGGACTTTTCAAGGACCTTAACAAAATTTTCAAGGACCTTAATCTAAGATCAATATTAAAAATTATTCTCTTCTATTTTACTAGAAGCAACAATGCTTGTTGTGGCAATAATTAATTTCAAATATAATACCTAAATGCTTTGCCTANAGATCTAAGCATATGCGACAGAAGATGAAGTGGAGTCTCGCCCCGAACGCATTGATTGTCTGCTGTGCTCCGCGCGCTTGGCAGACACCAAGACGCTAGGCCCGGTTAGAAACGGTGGCGTTAAAAACCACGTGAGAGAGCTCGGGAACAAAACAGAAAGAACGGGAAAGATCCGCGGGTGTTTTATAAAAAGGGCAGCCGGCAGTATTGGACAAATTCAAGGACCTATCAAGTTTTTCAAGGACCTAAGACGTTTTTCAAGCACTTTCAAGGACCTAAATTTAGCAAAAAAAAATTCAAGGACTTTCAAGGACTCTCAAGGACCGTGGGAACCCTGTAAACATAAAAGAATATATTTACATAAGATTTACCATAAAAATGTTAAATATAAAAGTCAAATTTGAAAAAAAATTAAAAATCTTTAGAAATATTTCTTTTAAATATGCATAAATTAATCAATAAAACTATTTAAATGTCATGTTATGAAATTATTATCTAGTAAAATGAATTATTGTTCCATTTATGAGAATACATATACATTTATTCGTTTAATATTATCACTAGTTAAGGAATACATTACACACATTTTTAAAAAAAGAAGATGCAGTCAAACCCTGATATTGTGGACCATCTGTGGACCAAGTAATATGTCCACAATAAAGGAAGTTTCATTATATCCAAATTGTTTGAAGAATATTTTGCTATGATAATTGAATTATTGACAATTAAGATTGCAATTTTTTCTTCTTTTCATTTTCTCTTAATTTTTTACTCCAGAAATGTAGATCAAATTAACAAAGAAATGGTGGTTCTATCACATGCTTGTTGCATAAGGAAAAAAAGTTACATGGTTTTTAGCTTTTTTGTATGTTGTGAAGAGCACTTTTGGTAATAATATGATAATAATAACAAATGAATAGTTCTGATAGAACTAAAATAGAATATATGCAAAGGATGGTATTCTATTCCTGCTGAACATGGGAAATTTGAAAAAGAAAATAACTTCACTTTCTCCCAAAAGAATATAAACTTATAGACACAGGTTTTATCTTACATAAATGATAAAAAGGTTTTAGTTGTATTAAATTTTACACAAAAATGATAACTAGTTTTATGTTTGAAAAAATAGTTTTTTTAAAAGTCAATCAGTGATTTTTCTTTCAAAATAAATCCTAGTGATTTTAAGCAGGATTTAAATCAAGCATATTTGAATTGACGTACCTAGTCAAAGTCAAGACAAACTACAATGACATTTTTAAATTATATTTTAGTTTTTTGAAATAATAAAAACTGTTTTCGAACTATTTCAAGTTAAAAGATTATTAACTGCTTCCCTTGCCAATTTTTTTGAAAAAAAAAATACAAAAAATTAACATATATTTTTATTTCAGTAATGAATACAAGGAACTAAAACAAAACATAATACACAAGTTCTTAAGTTGAAATTTTAATTTTTTTATACGTAAAAAATATTTAATTTAGCATCAGTATACTGTCCCAAATTATCTCGGGCAAATGAAAAAAGTTAAATATTAGTCCTTCTATATGTTCACATTTTCATAATCTGAAAAATCATCAGCATCACTTTTACTTTCACTAGTGAGTCATTTTTTTTACTCTTTTTTCTATGTAAATTCAGCAACCATCGTATATGCAATTGCACAAAACACGTCTGCAGTCTCACAAACAGCAAACTTCCCAAACAATTGTTGGCAAACTTCCAACCACAGCAGATTATGATTTTTTTTTTTGCTTTCAGCCGGGTAAAAACGTGATAAAACAAAACATATTGACGAATTCTGCTATGAACAAGTTTACTTGGAATGATAAATATTTGCAATATATACATACCCGAGCAGTGTTTTCATTACAGAAAAAAAAAATGAGAGAAAATTTCTCACCCTTTCTCAAAAATTGGGTGAGATCTCAAAAAGTTTAGTGAAATTTCTAAAAATTAAAAAAAACATGATTAGACTTGGAAAAAAATATTTCTTTAATTATAATACATTTTTAACATCTCCTAACTTTTCAAAGCATTGAATATTTTTGCTCCATCATCTTATGAAAAATGTTCTATATCTACTTTTTCATCAGCTTCTCTCATTAGGTTGCTCAAATGTTTATCAGTCATTTGTATACGATATTTTGTGTTAATTCGGTTTTGAGTGCTAAATGACGTTGCAACAGATGCTGAACAATTCGGAATCACTAAGTAAATTTGTAGCATTGAAAAAAATTTAAACGTCTTACATGAAGAAATCTTGCCTTCAGTGAACACGTGGTTGCAGAGAAATGTGTTCTGAAAGGTGTTCCGTCACTCAGGGAGGGGTATTGTGTTCTGCTGTTCGCACGTGTTCGAAACAATACTGGTAAATAGGGAAGCTGGATAACAAGCATCGATGTTGAAAATAATGAAAGATCAAGGAAGAGAAGTTAAACGGATTCTATTCAAAATGGCAGAAGACGAAATTTTTCCAAAATTCGCGAGATTCGCGCTCTTTGAAATTGATTAATAGAGTGTGCGATCTTCTCGTGTTAATCATTTTTTAATGCGAGAAAAGTAAAAAATAAACGAGATTCTCGCGCTGTAGTGAAAACACTGCGAGTTAACGCGGAATAATCAGGGAAGCAGTTAAAATTATTACAAAAAAAAAATAAAAAAATACATTTCTAAGGCAGAACTGGAATTGTTAAAATCCAGTGATTGGTGTTATTTTCTGAAGCAACTGAAGCTAATAAAACTAAAATTCTAACAAAGGAGAGTTACTTTGAGAGTTTTGACAGCCACTGTCATGTTGTAACGTTTCCATATGGCTTCATAAACATCTCCATATTGGCCACCCCCTAACCGATGCTTCATCACAATGTCGGTACGTTCTATCTCCCACTCATCAGGTTCTGGGCTCAAGGCAAAGACGGTAGGCTTGTTCCTCTTGGGTGCAGGATACAAAAGAACAGTTATCAGGCCATCTGTATGAATGGAATGATGATGGACTAACTCGGCTAAGGTGTTGAATGGACACTCCGAGGTTACGAAAACCTAAAAAAAATTAATCCATCTTACATTTGTCGCAAATTTTAAAGTTCATAAAACACAACATATTTATCAGAATAATAAATTAAAATTATCAACTGAAAAAATAATAACCTATGGTTTTCCATGCAAGTAAATTTGTCTTTAGTGAGATACAGTTATCTCGTTTGAATTGAAACTCAAAGGAAACTGAAACTATACAAAATTCAAACTAAAAGAAGTATCACATTACATTTTCAGACCTCACAACAGACAGTTGGGATATTTTATTAATGAAGGGGTTATTTCAGCAGAAGCTGGTTTCAATTTTTTACTCATTCAACAATTCTTGGTGATACAGAATATACCATCGTATCAAAATTTCAGAAAATACGAGGGCTGTTTTTAAAGTAAGGGCTATTTTGGTGTGTAAAATAATATTTGACGTGTTGATCACAACGAGTGCTTGTGTCATGTCCTGGCATTCCTGGGAAACAACTGTGCTTAGTTACAGCTGTGTAGGTAATCTGCACAGTCAGTTCTGTATCATTAAAATATTCTAAATTAACAAATTGCCCACCATGAGATACAGTCAAAAATGCGTTTTTCTAGTCGGTAAAAACCTGTCTGCTTCATACATTCACCGGCGGATTTGTGAAGTTGACAACTTAATAACTTAAGGTAGGTCTCTTAGTGGTTCAAAACAAAAATCAGGACAATACACAGAAACTAAAATAATTTTAAGAAGGGTACTGAAAAACAATTAAAAAAAAATACTGAAATCCTCTTTAACTGTGCACAACTACAAAATAATTGGTGAAACTGAACATTTTCACATGAAAAAAAGTAAAGGTAGGATCAAGTTGATTAAAAATGATTTTAAAAAACTGTAATTTCTCATACAGTGAGAAATCTGGAGTTTGAAATTCCTTGACATTGGAAATAGAGTGCATAGAATATGGATAGATCAAAATAAGTTTTTTTTTTTTTTAAATTAATATTGTAGTTATTTTTTATGCAACAATAAATTACTTTAAAACTATATAATATATGATTATAAACTAAAGAATAAATGCATACAAAATTAAAAATGTTGAAAATCAAGAACAATAATCTCTGCATAATAAAAAAAAGTAAATATACACCAAAGAGCCATTACATTATGACCACCCTCCATCTATAACNTATATATATATATATATATATATAATTGAATTTGTAACAATTTTTTATTCTAATATAATGGGTGATATTCCCGGATTTTGTTGGGGGGGGGACACACAAAGTATCTTCTTCTTTGCATTTTGTAAATAATCACAATAAAAAAATAATTAAAAATCATAAAATCTGCAGTAGTAATTGCCGAAAAAAAGACTGATGACGAAATTCTGAAAAACAAATTTCTCAAATGCGTGTTTCGTTGTTGTAAAAAATAAGATTAGATTGTTGTAAAAAATAATGTATAAAAATATCGGATTTAAAAACTATGGAGAAATCAATGGCAATAGCTACCAAAAATTCAAAAGAATTATTGCCTTAAAAAGTAAATACTCAAATGCACGATTCGAATTTTCCAATTCTTTGATATGTATCAAGATATTTAAAATCCACGTGAAAATCAATAACTGCCGAAAATACAATCCAAACATCGATTTACGATACCATCGGCATAAATTGTGCGCATCAAAAAGTAATGATCTAAATGCATGATTCAAATATTACGTGTAAATTTCTGTAGAAAAGAAAAGTAATTTTTTTTTTTACTTTTCAAAAGAAAAATCCTTTGAATCTCTGTAACGTTACGCAACAATATCGCAGTGATTCTGCCACGGGGGTCACCGTCATGGGTCCAGAAGAATGGCTAGGGAAGTTTTTATTTAGACAAACTTTAAAAATGACAGGAAAAAATAAAACCATAAATTTAAATAGAATCAAGAAACAGTCCAGACCTTTCCATCCGAATCTTCATTAATACGGTAATGATAAACTCTCCCTTCAAATCTGACTGAAATGGATCTCTGACCTGGGCTGCTTTCGCTCTCACGCACCAAGAAACTGCCATTTATACCGCTGCTGAGGAGATACTCCGCTGCATTTCGAGAGATGGGCCCATGATACCAGGAATGCTTCTCCAGGCTATTGACAGGGGTGATGTAGTTGCTGGGAACCCAGCCAACAAGACCGTTCCATGACGTAGCTTCACACCATTCTCCAGTCTTATTGTACGACAAAACTCTCACCTGCTGACCTGAGAATAAGAATAAATTTTAAATGAAATATCATAAATTAAATAAAAGAAAGAAACACCAATAACAAAAAAAAATGTGTGCTTAAAAAAAAATTTACTTAAAATATGCATCTACTCTGCATAAAAGGGTACACAATCTGAAACCCACAAGCAATTAATGTGCAGACATGAAGAAAAAATCTATTTATTACCCATTGGCAAAATGGGTCTTGGATTTGATGGCGTGCGCACTTTATTTGGACGTCATTACACGTTTCAACTGTGTTCAAGAGTAATAATAGTAAACAGTATGCATCCATCGACATTGCATGCGTTGCTATTGCGACCACTGCTGTTTGAGAATTTTTTTTAGAATTCTTTTTTTTTTCTTCCACCAGCAGTCATTCTTAATGTATTTACAGAATAATAATTTAAAGTATTTTTATATTCTTTTTACTGTACTGGCCTGATGGTAATTTCAATACAGGGGTCTGTTTAGAAGAAATTTGGGTCCGTTAACGGACTCTTCACAAAATATCTTTTCATAAAAACGGACCCTTCACAAAATATTTTAACTTAAAAACGGACCCTTCACAAAATGATTTTTCTTTTAATCGGACCCTTCACAAATTTGTTTATCTTCATTATTATTTTGTTAATCGAATAAACCCTTTCCAGGGCAGAAAACAAGAAAGATGGATGTAAACGAATTAAGTTTTGTCTTCGGCAGACGATTCTTCCATTATTCGTCCGAAATTAATATTCTGCGTTCAGCAGTATAGGCTAAATACCAAATATTTGTATGTTGCATCTCTAATTTAGAAGCAGCAATTGTTGTTTATTTTTTAAAATTTAATTTTTTTAATTATAATTTTACAGTGTTGAGCATAATCTTGTATGTCTTTACAATTTAAAAACTCCTTGAAAAAGTTTTTTTTTTTGCAATAACGGACCCTATTTGCACAAATTCATAATAGCGGACCCTGGTTGAAAGAATGTGTGTAATTTTTTCACAATTTCACGAAAAACGGACCTTTCACAAAATGTCTGGACAGACCCCTGCAATATAAATATGAATACTGAAGAAGGAAAACTATTTTGTGACGTCTTGAAGCACATATACAGACAGGATTTGAAAAACCAATCCGACGACAAACATCAATTGAGATCAGTTTTTGCAAACCATGATTAGAAATGTTGTAGTGATTATCGAAGTCAAATCAGAATAATAAAAAATGCATTTGACCAATGGGTAACCAGTGAGCGTAATAAAGCAATCACAATTTTTTTAACTCTTTGTTTTTGGAAAATAAAAATCTCATAATTTTTAAAAAAGAACAAGGTTCCTCTCGTCATCTTCATTTGAAACGGGCGAATGAAGTTGTAGATGGAGTTTTTCTTCTTCATTTGAATTCCATATGGAAAGATTCAGAGCTTGTGCATTACAAGCAGGATTTTCAACAATTAATACAACATATCAAAATTACCATATTAGACCAATTTTACACACCACTGCAGTATATAGTAAGCTAAATAGTTAATAAAATAGTTTTCTAGGCAATCAAAGTATATCATTATAATTTAAGACTTAAATGAACATGTAGAAATGCTCATTAAATTTTATTAATAATTATGTGCGAAGGAATTATGAACAACCAATATCTAAAATATGCATTCCCATTTCGTTAATTAATTATATGTTAAATACAGAATTCAATCTTCTTTTTTTTTAGTTATTAATAAAATTTTTATCAAATGAAGTATTAGCAGAAAAAAAAAAGAGTTACAAATATTAAATATCATACATTTTTGGTACTTGTTAAAATGTAAAATATAAACCTAATCTCAAGTATCATGACAATTTCATTAAGTCAAAATTTAAAATAACAAAGCTAGTCCTTCTTTATCTCCTTTTATTGAAATATTTAAATATAATACACTATTTCTGCTTTTTAGTTCCTAAGTGATTTCACAATCTGAACTGAACTTATCTAAAATCAAAAAATATTCTTTCTAGTCCAGCTGTCATAAAAGAAACAGTGAATAATTGAGTAATTAGAGGAAAAGTTTTGTCTTTCAATCAGAGTTTTTGACCCACCTACAAACCTAAAAAAAAACGGAAGGGTTTTCTTATAAAAACCAACTCAAAAAAACTCAATAAAACATGTACTCAAATGGAATTTTTTTTTTTGAGGGGAATAAACATAATTAAAATAGATTAATAATGAATTAGACACAAGAGAAATGGATTTAAGAGATTTCATATTCATATTTTATTGATTCAAGAATTTTCAAATCAAAACTAACTATAAATACATAGTTTGGAGTTTAATTCCTAAAACTACTAAAAAAAAATTTTAATAAACAGTAACTCTGTAGTTAGTTGGCCTACAAAAGGCTTACTTTATAACAAAAAATTAAGCTATAACTTATGAATGTTTAATAATAAATAAATAAAACAGAATTTTCTCTGATCCCAATATTATGATTTTATTTTTACTCAAGAAAATAATTAATTTAAGAATCTTTTATTAATACAGTAGGGAACCGATTATCCGGAACGATCGGGACCATCGATATTCCGGATAACTGATTTTTCCGGTTTTCTGAATCGCAACAAAAAGCCGTTTTTTAGTAGTTAAACCCAACGAAAAAAAAAATTTAAATAATCTTAAAAAGAAGAAAAAACAATGAAGTAATACATTAATGATTATTTCCAAAATAATGGTAAGGTAAACATCTTTCAAAAATGAACAAAAAATCCTAAAATCTTATGAGGAAAAAAAATTTTTTTTTTTTAAAAATGGCAGGGAAACTAATCGAATTTTGTTCCGGTTTTTTGGTTTTCCGGTTTTCTGATTTCCGGATAACGGGTTTTGTACTGTACCAGCATAAAAAGATGGTTCTGCATAAAAATTAAAACTTTTTTTATTTTAATTCAAAACCAAATTATTATTTTCGCATAAAAGGTTTCTTTATATTAAAAATGTTCTCTTTTCAATCAAAAATTATATCTAAAAAATGTTTAACTACTTAATATCATAAAAAACACTATAAAATCCAGAAATGCCCAATAAAATTAACCTGGGTTTTGGTTTTTTTTAAACCCAGCTTTCAACTGATATTCTAAATTATGGTTTTCTGTCAAAATGTAGGTTCAATATTCTAAGCTTTATCTTTAAACATACTAGCTTTTTTTTTTTTTTTTTTTNAACACATATTTTTTTTTTTTTTTTTTTTTTGCAAAAGGTACAGTAGATGGTAACAGGTAGACTCTATAATAAAAATCATAATATAAAATGGGGCTATTTTAGTCTAATCTTTTTAAATACTCATTAAAGGCAATTTTTAAGATAATAAATACAATTAAAGATAATTTTTGGAGAACCCTGAAATGAATGCTGCACTTTTAATTATAAAAGGGGAAAAAAAGCTTGAATTTAAAATAGTTAATATTTAGCTTATAGAAACAAAACAAAATACAGTAGATCCTATATCAATCATTGCTCATTTGGCAATTCACTGTGAATGATGGATACAGAAAAACAAATGCGGGTAAAAATAAAATATCAAATAATGACCTGAAAATGTAGAAAAATTAATGTAAAAATTAATCATTTAAAATTTCAGCTTGAACACACTTTTTTCATTTATGTACAACCAATAAATTTCGGAAAATTGTAACAGATTGCTGTTAATTTTTTATTTGCCAGAAAGTTCCTCACTGTTTCAAAGGCTTTAAGGCATTCGACAAGAGTTGGCACTGGTTGTAGCTTCATTTCATAGTCTTTATCAGAATCACTTTGCACTTCAATATTTTGAGGTGACTATAACACAGATTTCAACATTTTCATCAACTGATGCTGAAATCAAACATGCTGTTTGAAGCATTTTATCCATACTCTGACCATTTTCTTCATCAATAGCATACATTAATGTTTGTTTTTCTTTCCTCAAAACCAAATATCTTTAATACTTTTTTAAAAAATCGATAGAATTTCTAAACAAGAGACGACGGAATCTGATAGTTTTAAAAACGGTTTAAATGGTTATTATTAACATTATAAAATGAAAGATGCGGGAATGATGGATCAAACAGGGGTGTTTGTCGTAGAGAGTGAAAATCCGGAAAATTATATGAGCAAAAAATTTATATTAATTTCTATATCATACATGTTTAATAAATAACACAACTTTTTGAATTAACATTTATAATTAAATTGCCTGCCAATGCAGACACTTTTAGGGTAACAAATTCAAGAAAAAACACGCTTCTTACAAGAATTGCAATATTCGATGTTAAAATAGCATGAATATGAATCACAATACTGGATTTTAAAAAAGCAAATTTAAATAATGAATTTTTAAATCGCACAAATACGAATCACTGAGCATAACTATTAGATCACGTTAATACGAATCACAATGCATGGTTTTTATATTACATATAAATGCGAAAATTGATGTTTGATATTACAAACGTGTGAAAACAAATCGCAATATTGGATTTTAAAAACGAGTGAATACGAATCTCGGCATTGGATTTTAAACTTGCGTAGACACGAATAGCGATACTTGGTTTAAAAAGGCATAAATACAAATTGTGATATTAGATTTTTAAATCACCAGAATAGGATTTACGGTGTGCGATTTTTAAATCCTGTGAATACAAATCAGGGAATTCTGCGATATTCGCATAAAAATCACGTGCCTTGCCTTTAGTTTTCAGACCCGGAAGAGTGATGCAAAAAAAAAAAAAAACGGAATTCTGGAGTTCCCCAGGAATACAACCACCCCAGATCAAAGTTCAACTATAATTTCAAACTGTCTGTTAAAATTTAAGTAAAATGAGTGTGTAGTCATACCTTTCCTGATAGATAATTGATTCTCACCCCCTGACTGAAAGTCATAGAGAGCAACAAAGAGTTGAGAATCATTTTCATCCTGAGACAATAGGTTGTCTTTTGACATCCAGCGAGAGGGAGCATCTAGGGGAGGAGGAAGATTGCGTATGTCATCTGACACATCAGGGATTTGAGGGAGTGGTCTGCTTTGCAACAGTGCTTCTGAAAAATAATAATAATCATCATTTTGATGCACTGTAAAATTGGAAAAACATAACTTCAAACAATAGAAGGATAATAACAGAAAAAAAATACCTTCATTGGAAATTCGATAAATTCAAATGCTATGTTGCTATCATAGATGAATCAATGTTGATATTTGTTAAACTTTAAGACAATATTTCATTACACATAATTAATCCTCAAAAAAAAAAAGAAGAAAAAGCACCTATACTATCCAGTTATCCTAAGAGCACTTCCCCATTAAAAGTTTGAGGTAACCCGCAGTTATGGAAACGTAAGTAAAACCAGAGCTCATTCTAGGCAGAAAAAAGGGCAGTTTGAAAAAGTTTAAAAAAAAGGCAATAATTTCTTTCTATGGGCTTTACACATTCCATTAAAAACATTGTCAATTTTTTTTTCTACTTTACTAAAAGTACCAAAGCAATCATATTAATTACTAATTTTTATTAATAAATTAACATATATATATCGAGTTAATGAGCTAAGTAGCCTAGTAATTTATTTAAAATGCATGCATATATTAATAAAATAATAAATGTATGTTTTTAAGTGTCTGCAGTTATGATTTAATAATTAAAATGATTAATAATAATTATGATTTAATAATAGTGAAGTAACTGCAAACTTTCAAAGACAAGTGCAACAAGGGGATGTGATGGCTATTTTTCCTTTCCCATATAAATATATGTATTGACAGCAATGACAAACTGAATAAAAAGAGTTGAAAATAAAGAAGGGTTGAGGAAAGAAAGGGCAAAAGGGGTATGGAGTCTATTACATCAGAGCACTAATTTACTTCAGGGGCAACGGGGTGAATTCTTTTGACTAAAAGGGCAGCAGGGTGCTGTGCCCTGTTTACCCAACATAGAATGAGCTCTGGTAAAACCATTTCTAATAAAGAATATTTGGAGACACGACATGACTCTAAGCTAGAGCAATATGAAATGGATATCTCTTCATCCTTATTCAAAGCGATTTGTATTTGTAACCATAAGCAGGCAAGTCAATTAACTGGAGAAGTTCTCACGATAGCTGGACAGTGCCCTTCAGTATGGCTGTTTATTATGGCGGTTTTATAACACAAGTTAATTATTCAAGTAGATAAAAATAGCACTAATATTTTTAGAATAATATCCTAGAAACTATATGACTTTCACAACAAGGCTCTCAACATACTTCAACCAAAGAAAAGGGTCATATTTAAAATTGAATTATTCATGAACATAAAACTTAATCAATTATTTATTTTATAACTGAAGTTATATTTATAAATTCTCCCATACCTAGCTGCTCAATCTTTGTAACATTTAGTCCCTTATGTAATTTATTAAATATGCCATTTAAACGTTCTTTAAATATGACAAAATCAAAACACTTTAATACAGAATAAAGATTTAAAAGTGAAGGATATATAAATAATTTGTTATTTTAACTATCATTTGGTCATTTTAAGTGGGAATGAATGTTTTAAAATGCATAGTACACCAATGATTCCACTATACTTTGGAAAATACTGGTCCTTAAGACACAGGACTTCTTTATTTCTAAGTTCTTTTTAACTAAAAGTGAATGACTATTTAAAATATGAATTCTCCATCTCTTAATTCATCTTTAACATTCACATTTATATTATTTTATCTATGTCTACACAAAACAAATGATTTCAAATTAAGAAGAGAGTCTATTTGAACAATCAAGTCTTTTAATTAGATTTGCGATGGCAACAAAGTAGTTTGATACTCAGAGTTATTTGAATTTTCTCTTCAGTTAATAATAACAAAGGAAAAGAAAATTTTCTGTAGTAACGTTTAAATTAAGAGTTGGCAAGGTTTAGGAGAAATTGGACTATTCCACGGTTTAAACCAGGGTTTTAACCAATCTGTCCAAAATCCCTTTGTCTTAAACTGTCCAAAACCCTTTTAAAATTATGACACAATTTTAAAAAAACATTGTGAAAAACAAAAGGTTAATTTTTGAGCAAGAAACAGAATAAAGAAAAGTTTTTGTTTCATTAAGAAAGTTTGTTATTAATATTGCATTATTTATCCTTATGCAAAAACATAATTTATCAAAATTAAAAGCATATTTATTCATATTTAAGGGAAATGTTGTTCAAAGAATTGTCAACTTTGAAAGTTATAAGTTTTTCCCCATTAAATTATAGTATTTTTCTTTAATAAGTTAAAGCAAATTAAATAAAAGTATCAAATATTTATTAATATATGTAATTATTATGTGTACAATGGTTGCGCATATAGAATTTTTACCTATTACCAATGTTCATGGTTTTGGACACCTTAAGACAGTTTTAGTCAGTTTAGGACAGTTTTAGTCAGTAAAACCCACATGTCCTGTCCAAAACCTGTTTAGGACTTCCAAAACTCCAACCCTTGTTTAAATTTTGCTTACATGAATCTGCTATCACACAATTTTTTTTCCCACGCAAGAGAATTATGCGCCCTTGGGAATGCATTATAACTAAATTACTTTTAGAGTTCCCTCTTGGCATGTTTGGCACATTATAGCATGCAAGCAGAATAAACGGTATCAAACGGTATAGCATACAAGCAGAATAAACGGAAAAGCAAAAATTAATATTAAAAAAACATCTATAAATGATAGTGTTCTAGATACTATTTATATGTAGGTCAAATTTATCGAACTTCAAAAGCGTCTGGTGAAAGCTAATTACTAATAATTTACATTTGCAATTTGTGTAAGATATATTGACAAATAATTTTCAACTTAAAAAAAAAACCAGCTACTATATGAAAAGAATTAATATTTAAAAGAGAAGAAATAACTAAGTGCTTCGAATTAAGTGAAAAAAAAACAATTATTTATACCGTAACCAATACAAAACTTTTTTTTTGCTTGAAAATCTCAGCATTTGATATAAGAATTGAGGCTCATTTGGTAAGGATATGAAACAAAGCATTGATTTGGTAATTGTGGTGGAAAATTACACAAACCATTGTGTTCAGTGAAAACATTTCCAGCGGCTATAGAAGATCTAGAATCTTTGGATGCTTTGCTTCTTTGATAGTGCTTGGCCGGTTTTCCACGGGTACTACTGACGGACGACCCACTACCGCAGCGGGTCTCTTTTCCTTGCTGTGCACCCATTCCAAGGCACTGTTGCCCTGCTGCAGACCAAGCACCACCCTTGATGGCTGAAAAGGAATTAGTTTAGCTAATGATCCATTGTTTTAAGAGTTATTTGAGGGGTTTAAATTAAAAAATAAAAGGAGAGTTTCGGTTTTGATGAGATTCTCAGCGTATCTCTACTGTTTATTTCTTTAGTTTTCTTGAGAAACACAGTGGCAGTTACTGTTCCAAATTTCTCGGAATTTTCTGCCCTTTTTTTTTTTTTTTTTTACGAAACTTCGGTAGCCGAGAATGCCTTGTCGTTTCTAGTAAGAATGAATATTTTATACAGATGGCGCTTAACAAATAATTGAAGACGTCACACCCAAACAACACTTTTTTAATGATTCGAGGCGTGTAAAGTCCTACAAACAAGTATACGCACTACAATTCTGTTCTGCCTATAAACTCTAGCATTGTGTTTTCATTGATTTGATTTTTTTTTACAGAAAAATAAATTATCTAGGATTGTTATAATAAGAAATAATTAAAAGAAGTTTTTATATTTTCTATTAAACCCATTTTAAAATTCGTCTAGGAATCTTTTAGAAAATTTTTCTTAACTTCCATTTTAGCTCTTATTATGCGCCACTATTATCGTTGTTCTTTTTATACAAGATTATCACATAAGGAATTTGGCGATCGCAACGCTCAAATACGCCATCTGGGGAGGGGAGAGACCGATTTCATGCCCCTAGCTCTTCTCTCTTCCCACTCCTCCTCTTTTCAGTTGTACAGGAATGTACTACGATATTTTCCCTTTTCTTAATATTTTTCTTTTTCATTTAATGAAAATATTTTTTAAAATTTCCGTGGTACTTTTCTTTAGAACTATGTTTAATGTAGTTTTTAGTTCCATATAGTTTTCCAACTTAAAAGATTTTAATCTATATGTAAATCAAGAATCATATGTAAATCAACCCATTTCGATCGCCAATAGATAAGCATTTACTATACCGTGAGAGGATTTTGTGGCTTTTCCCTCTATGTAACGCAAATGCAGTTTAGCTCTATCAGAAAGTTCTTCACGGAGGAAAATTTCTCCCGATACTTAATCCAGGAGTACCCTTTCTTTTGGATTGGTTTCAGAATTACAAGGCTACGGAGATGAACGTTGGTAGTCGTAAGCTCAAATTTGGGTCAACTGTCCAACAATGATTATAAAATAAAAAATAACTGCCACATAACACTCTTCGATCAATCTCTCCTGACAGTCATTTTGCTTCTTGTGCGCATGCGATGTTTCTTAGTACACATTATGTTCTGTTAAAGTTGTAAACCTGTAAGTTGAATTTTTTTTAATTTATTTTTTCTTTTATTTGTATTTTTTTTTTTTTTTTATTTTGGCATACCGCACCGAGCAGTTCCTTGCGTTAGTCAGATATTCTAAGGGCTGGACTTCTTCTCTCTGTATTTTTTGGCAAGGGGTGGCGTTTGTGCCCAAACCCCTCATATGAGGGGTGCTAAATTAAAAAAAGGTTTTTGGAAAATGAATCACCTTCCAAAATTAATTTAAATATATATGTTATTGTTTCAAAACTACTAGTTTTCTCTTACTTTTTCGGCATTTCAAGAAGGTTAATTTTATTTATTTATGCTGGAAGGGAAAGGGAAAATTAACTTACCTTCTCTTGTATTTACGTGTAAATGGATAAAAATTGACGTACTAGAAAGCACCAGGAAAAAGAACTATATATTTATTTCACATCAAAGAAGAAAAAACTAAAATTTATAGAAGTTGCCATTCAGTGGTACAATAATAAAATAAAAAATAAAATAAAATAAAAAATTAATTATAGCCTCCTCTACAATGTATTTATTTATTTGTTTATTTAGTTGTGTGTTTACATAAGATATAACTCATAGTCGGCTTTAAGAAGCTACTCTGGTATTAACCTATGCCCCTCTTACAGTGTTTGCAACTAGCAGTGTAAAGTAAATATCGACCAATTTTCCTAAGAGGGTGGTTGATTACTAATTGGAAATAGCAAATCATATAAGATCACCTTCTCTCAGACCAGATACGGCACTTTTCCAAAAAGAAATTGTTTTCTGTGTTTCAATGAAAAATGATTCTTTAAACGCTATTCAGCAATTTTTTTTTATATTTATACATACATAGGAAATTAAAGAGCCACATTTTGTACCCCCTACGAGGTCTATAATTATTTCCTCTGGTAGGGTACACTATTACCTGGTAATAAAATACGTGGTCCAATTAAAATATTATGGGTTAATATTAAGCTCTGATATCGGGCCTTGTGTTAATATTGAAAAATGACTTCGAATCGCCTCGTTTTAAAGCGTTTTAGAAGACGAATTTCCTCATTTTAAACAAAGTATTATATATATATACATACATAGTAACCTATAGGGCAACATTATGGGCCTCCTATTAAGCCTATAATTATTTCCTGTGGAAGGGTACACTATTACCCGGTAATATAATACTTGGACCAATACAAACGTTATGGGTCAATATTAAGGTAAGATATCGGGACATGTATTAAAGCACCTCCTCCGGTTAGTCAACAAAACTTATTTTGGCCCATTGTGGGCCTACTAATTGGTCAATGAAAAATTCCTTTTTTACAATTGTTTGATACATTAAACTCTAATTTCGGGCCAAGTTTGAAATTTATAGGTTAATATTATAGGAAGTAACGGGGTGTGATGTGTGCGTGCCTCCTGATACGAATTTTGTCTCTTTTTCAGCCATTATTCGCTCTTTAACAAAGAAAAATAATTCTTTTCATATATAAAACACTTTATTCACCTCAAAATACTGAGAAAGAAGCTAAAAAAATAACATAAAATAAAATAAATAAATAAATAAAAAATAATCAAAATTTATTTGTTTATTAGCTATTATTCGCTATTTCAAAAAGGAAAAATAGTTGTCTCTATATACAGAACACTTCATTCACGCCAAATTGTCAAAAAGTATATTAAAAAACATAATATAAAATAAATAAAAAAAAAAATTTAAGTCGACCCTTGCAGGGTTTCGAACCCAGGACTTCCGGGACTACATATCAACATTGCCCACAGTGCTACCAACTGCTCCACGCTTCACATACCAGTACCGTGAATATTTAGCTTAAAGCACCTTCTCCCGATTAGTCAACAAAACTTATTTTGGCCCGTTGTGGACCCACTAATTGGTGTATAAATAATTCCTTTGGTGCAATTGTTTGTTACATTAAACTCTAATTTCCTGCCAAGTTTGAAGCTTATAGGTTAATATTATAGGGAGTAACGGGGTGTGATGTTTGCGTGCCTCCTAATGCGACTTTTGTTCCTTTTTCAACCATTATTCGCTCTTTAACAAAGAAAAATAATTATTTTCATATATAGAACACTTTATTCACTTAAAAATATTAAAAATGAAATTAAAAAAGTAACATAAAATAAAATAAATAAATAAATAAAAATTATCCAAAATTTATCAGTATATTAGCTATTATTCCTTATTTTAGAAAGAAAAAATAGTTATTTCTATATAGGGTAAACTAACCAGTGAAGGAACACTTAAGCTTCGCTTGCCTTTTAAAAAATCATATTAATTTCAAAATTCGTAATTTCAGTTAAATGACAGTGCCAACATATTTGTTACTAATTGCAAACTATGCAAAAAAATTGTAGAGAACTTACATAATATTGTTTTAAAGTTTTGGAGATTCAAATAACAAGTAGTAAGAAGACCCAGTGAAGGAACAGCTCTTCACCAGTGAAGGAACACAAAATTGCCCAGTAAAGGAACACTTAGTTTTGGTTATTTTTTAATGCTCTTTATGAATTTTTTAGCCATACATATATATAAAAACAAGACTATTTGTGAAATTATAACATACAAGTACTTGTAAAATGCTAACTTTTTTCTGTAATCATGAACTAGAAATTAAAGTGATGTTAAATACAAAATAAATTTAAAAAATCATTCTTTCTTATAATTTGACAGTCAAATCTAAATAATTGTGTCATCCGATGCTGTTTATTATCATTATTATTTTATCACCTTTTTGTTTCCATTTCTTGAAGCTTTTTTTCTTTTTTAAGTACTTTTTCTTTCTTTTTCTTTTCCATATTCCCTTGTTTTAACTTTTTTTTAGGTCTTTCAGCCTCTTGAAATTTTTGCCATTTCTCTATAGTTAGTGCAAAAGGTAAATTATTTATTTTTCTTCTTATTTGACCTTTCTTTTTATCATCAATATTTGGCCAATGTAAATGGTTCTTCCAAACTTCTTCTGATTTTTCATTAACATTTCTACTATGGCTTTCTCGAAAATAGACGGGGGAAAGGTGTCTTGAAGTTTGAGGAAAATTCATCTCTTGTTGACTTGTATCTAGAGGATCTTTAGAAGTACTGATTTTATTTATAGAATCATTTCTTGTTTCAACTAAGAGAGGATCAGCATGAGGACTCATTTCAAATTCGATATCTAAGATGCATTCATTATCAATACTAGCTTCAGTTCCTAA